AAAATACCCTTTCTTTCCCCCTGCCCACCCAGCCTAATGGAAATAATATGATTTATCGACTAGAATAGCATATTAACTGCACAGGTGGTCTGAGAAATTTAGGGCCACTGTTCTCCTCCCACCTCTTTCCTTGGAGCAGAGAAATTGCAGACCATTGTGGACATCTCTGAAATGTTAATACAGAGCAGGCAACAGAAACCAGGAGGAAAAAAAAAAGGCCACTGAGATCATAAAAATCGGATTTTCCACAGTCTGTGGGCCAGAGCTCTCCATTCATTCCCACTGAATAAAGACATAAATAAGATGCTCCTGGAAGTGCTGCGTGGGTCACCCTGGGGCAGGCAGCCCAGAAGCAGGCTCCCCTGCGGGAGATTAATTCTTTGCACATCACACCATCCCTCTGTGCTGGATTTGTCACCAGCAAAGTGTAAAACTCAGAATTCCCTTTTTTGCACAAGTCTTTGAAAGCTACAGCTAAAAAGCCAGAGATGTTTCTTACAATAAAATGAGGGATTAAAAAACATAATTAAAAATAGTATTTCTGTAGCAAAAGGACCTTGGCTGTGGAAAAGGGACAGTGATTACGGGGTACGAGAGGGAGGCAGCGACTGTCATCTGGATCAGAGCAAAAAGAAAGCAAAAAGAAATTTTCCCACTGACACCTTCAACATTCTTTCCCCTTTGCGCCTCTCAAAATATGAGTGATCACAGCGACGGGGACAGAGAAAACACCACAGCTAATAAGATCCTGCATCTGTACAAACTACAGCATCATTTGATCACTGCCGTCCTGCAAAGCATCTCTGCCCTGGCACCAGCAGGGGAAGGCAACCAGCACCTAAATTACACACACCCAGCCTCGGTTCCCAGGACCTCAGAGCACCAAGGGAGGGGATGCTCCTTGGTTTTCACTTGTTTCCTCCCTCTTGCCCTCAAGGCTGGTTCTGACGCCTTTTTGGGTCCACCAAAACAGGAGAGCAAAGCCGTGGGGCAGCGCTGGGTACCCCAACCCTCAAGGCACAAAGCAGCAGCACTGTGCCAGCTCAGCACCTTTCTAAGCTGTTGCACTTTCTATGGATTGGTGCGTCAGCATGAAAACAAGCTTTTGTGTCCATCCACCCTGTAAACATGAACAGTTAATGCCCATCTCCTTTTGTCTGGTGTGGAGATAGACGGCAAAGAACTAGATATGGGTTTGTCCCATGTGTAACGCATCATATTTGGGGGATTTTTTAACTTCAAAAAAAGATCAGCGAAGCAAAAGAAGTCAAGAGAGATATCCGAGATCGTTTGACTCATGAAGAGTGATCCATTGGTTCTTCTGGATTGGACATCAGCCTGATGAAACTCTCATAATAAGCTAATAGCCATCCCCTAATAAGTACCATTCTAGATTTTAAAAAAGGTCTCTTACAAATTCAAGTGTAAAAGAAGCAGAGAGAGCAAAGAGATTTACTTGCATGCTTTATTTGCTGCAACAATATTAAATGTCATTGACAGACCCTTTAGCACTTATCAAAAAAACCCACTTCAGAGACAGGATGATGTTCTCTATCAACAGTTCCTATATCCTTTAAAAACAGTTTTCAGGAAGCACTTGTCACATTTGGAGGAGTTGAACTCTAAGTTAGAACCGGTATGTTTGTGTTGGGGGTTTTTGCGGGGTGCAGGAGAAGGTCAGTAGACTGGAAACCCAAAGAAGAAGATTTATTACCTCGCTTATAAGTTTCTGGGGCACTACATATGGACATGCACAAAGTTCAGGGCAATTTTAAGCGTTCACTCTAGTTATGCCAAACGTTTTCAGTCATAAAATGCATAAGCACTGGATTCCACAAAGTCAAGCTGACAGAAAAAGAGACCTTGTACAGTTGCCAATCTTGGCCCAACAGAGGCTCAGAACAGAATAAAAGTGAAGAATAAATTATCTCTTGTGGAACAAAGTGGGCACAGCGCAAACACACTGCAGATGAGCCATAAGGGACGCCTTCCCCTAAACTCCATCCATCTTCACCTTATAGAAGGACTAAAAGCCTCATCAATAATTTAGCAAACTAATGGGCATGTTTTTAAACATTGTGGGCCGATGCTTAAAGAAGCGCCACGTTGGCAGAGCAAGACTGTGAAAGTGGAAAGCTTGTGGCTTTGTCTTCTGTGGCTCTCTTGAAAGTCAGGACCGCGTGGTGTGCTACGGACACAGTATTTGTGTCAGCAGCACTTTTCTTCTGCTAGACCTCAAGCCTGGGACCACAAAGCAGCAACATAATGAAGGGTGAACTTCATCTTCGGGGGGTAGCAGCAGTTTCTTTTGGTAAGCTCTCCACAGTCAGCAGGACCCAGCCACGTGGATCAGCAATAACAACCTTCCCAAGAAATTCCCAGGTGTTTTGCAGCCATTTTAATTGCAACCACCCCAAGTTTTGAGACTCAGCACTTCCCACCAGTTCAGCTGCTGGAAAGCCTGGTTGCCACCCATCTGAGACACATGTTCCCAGGGCTCTAACTCATGGACCAGGGTGCCAGGACAGCCCACCTAGTTTCCCAGCCATAGCCTACCCCCAGCAAGGACAGCGTACACCTTGACACCTCCAACATATCTAACATACGCTTCAGGCTTCAAAGAACCGCAGCCTAAACATTGTCCCCCCCATGCCTGGGTTGTGCAAGGCATCACCCAAACTACACCCAGCTTCCCTCAAGACATGGGGGAGAGAAAAATAAAAGCTCACTGACCTGAGCATGCATCCAGGATGCTGGAGATCCAGATCAACTGCTGCAGCTCTCAAAAGAGGAAAACACACACAATACCTCCTCTCCAGCCTCCTGCAAACGCCTCTCTGCTGCCTACACATTGATTTATAAGCTCACACCCAGCCCCCAGCTGTGCTGGCAGTTCCCATTCCCAATCATCCAAAAAGAGACTCACCTGCACATAGGTAGCTATCCGCAAAGCAAGCAATTCACCTATGAATCAGGTGTCCTCTCTGCTGCTGACTGATCTCTTCAGAGTTGGGTGCTTCAGACCCCAAAATATGCATTGCTTATACCACTCCCCCCCACCCGCAGACCTGCATCCTCACTGGGTAACACGGGTAACACGGGCGGCTGAGTGGACTGGTTATTGCTCATGCCAGTCTGTAGGCACCAAGCCCTCCCCAGGCTTTACAAACCAGCTACCTAACCCAAATTGGGCACAAAAAGGCTAGGAAGGAGATGGAGTGCTGAGCCCGTTTCCCTTTTCTGAACCCAGTCCAATCTGCAAGTGAGCCCTTGTCCGTGGTCTCAACAGGCTGTGTAAAACGAGAAGGACAAACACCATTAACACGTTGGGATGCTGATCTTCCCCGTGCCAACGCGTGCGGCTCAGGGTGGTTTCCTCTCGCCATCAAGGCCACGCTTTGCTCTCAGGCTCAGGTGTGTGGTGTGGCACAAAGGGGCACTTCCATAAGGGTCATCCATACATCCTTCCTATATGGAGACATTTTAAACCTGACGTGAAGGAGGACCTCATGTGTAAGGGCATTGAGGATACTGCCTTTGGGTGGATTCTTCAGCTCTCCTGTGAAATTCATAGCTGCGGTAGATGCACAAGACTTTGGGAAAAGGGAAACTCCTATGGGTGTATTTTTCCTACCAAGAACAACCACTGAGTTCACAAAGCCGATGCTTTATTTTCCTTTTCCAGAAATTTCCTGCATTATGGCAGGGCAGCAAACTGCTAAACTTCCCACCACCACATTCTAGAGTTTGCTGTAACCACCGTCATACCTCTCCTTTTTTACTTCGCACCCGGGCCTCCTTGCAGCGTGATTTCATTACTGCCTGACACCCTGTACTGCTTAATTGCTGCGGTCACCTTAGTTCATTTGTACTTTTTGCAATCTGCCGCATATTAGTGATTGTCAGCTGCAGAGAGGGTGCTGAAAAAGAGGAAAAATGTACCCAGTTCAGTTACCGCCGGTATGTTACTTCTTGATAACAGTGTAATTAAATTCCACGGTCATTGGGCATCCTATCTTAGGATGAGGCATTGAGTAAAACAGCCAAGTACCAACACTCAGTTTGATAAAATCTTCATAAAACTATAATGACAATCTGCAGATAAACCAGGTCTTTGCAGCCACGAAACTGAGTTTAATCGCCTCGGGTAAAGAAAATACCGGGAAATATATTTTTCACATTATTCTTACAAATTCTCTTTATCCCTCTGAAAGAAGTGATGAGATCTACAAAGCGTTGGCCATATGAAGGAGAACAGCAGTAAGGATGATAAAAAGGCAGAAATTATGTTGGCTTTAAGGAGGAAACAATGACAGGGATATTTAGCTGAGATATCATCACTCACAAAGGCTTGAAATGTTTACATTTCAGAACTTAGTCACCTACTCTAGGGGTCTCTTCCAACCCAAAACATTCTATGATTCTATGATACTTACAGCCCTGCCATTTTAAACAAACCACCCAACCCTGCATTCGGAGGAGACGGCATAGTCAGATTTTTGAGTTAATTCCGTAAATAGCAGCCCTGGAATTAAGGTGCCGGGGTGCTGGGGACCCCTCACCGCGGGGTCAGGTGTGCCAGTGCCTCCTGGATGCCCGCCCAGAGGTGGGGATCAGTGAGGTAAATGGGAGGCAGGCAAGGAACAACTTTTATGTTGTTTGTAAAGAGAAGTCAAACCAGAATAATAATAAATTAAAAAAAAAAAATCTTTGAAAGCATCTGCTGAATGGCAGCCCCTGGGGAGCCCGCGAGCGATGCATCCCTTCAGATAAGAAGGGAGGGTTTAAAGAAAAGGCGCATACGTGACAAGTTTGGAGATCAGGCCCTCACGGAGGGGCTAGGAAGTGCAACTGGTTTAACATTTTCATCGTTTTCTTTCGGGTTTGGGTGGGGGAGAGAGGGTTCGGCAAAGCTCCCAGGAGCCCCCCTGCCCGCCCTTCCAGCCAGACGCTGCCATCTCCTCACGTCCTGCCACTGAAAAGTTTCTTTTGCCTCCCAGATCAGCATCTTCATGACCCATTTGTCTAACTACGGGAACGACCGCCTGGGCTTATACACCTTTGCGAACCTAGCCAACTTCGTTAAGAGCTCGACTAACCTGAAACTGCAGACGCTGCCCCCAGTTCAGCTGGCTCAGAAGTACTTTGAGCTCTTCCCGGAGCAGACGGACCCTCTTTGGCAGGTAACATCACATCCTCTTCCTCCTCCAATTGCAATCCGCCTGTTGGAATAAAAATCTTTTCCTGTAAAAAAAAAAAAAAAAAATCCCA